CCCCCCCCCCCCCTCCCCCCCCTGCGTTTAATATTAGGGGGAAATCATTAAGCCCTAAACCACGGCAACTCTCAACTTTGCGGGTGTTGGGGTTTCTGGACAGCAGAGTGGACACTGAAAAGACCCTAGTTTAGGAACAACAATCGTTAAGTCGATGAGGACCCCACGTTGGCTGTGGCCGCTCTGGAGTGCGAATTTGAAGAGGTCCGGGGCGCTCACCTTTCAGCTACGGAGAGGGGGTCGCGACGAAGTTGTGCCTTGCAGGTATCCGATGTAATTACAATTCCTGACTCTGAGACCTCAACACTCGAGACCCTAAAGGACCGTAAACCCTAAGTCATAAAGCCTCCAAGATCACCTGCCTGTTGCTAGATGTGAAGAATGGACAACTCGACTCAGCGAAGTTCAATCCCGAATGAGTCCCGAAGCCTCTAGATTTCAGGGTGCGACATGAAAAGCCCGAAAGCAATGCTCCCCAATTCATGAGGGATGACTTTGCCATGCTGTGTAGCAGTTTGGCTGAAACCTGGCTGCAAGGATCGAGGTGGTGGGAGCGTCGTCCTACGGGCTCTAAAGCTTCTTGTTGGACGACTTCGGGCTTTGCCGGTGCTGGATTTTGCGTGAACCCTTTTCTTGTGGAGTTTTCATGCTGGGCTATCGGTCTAAACGCTGAACCCAGGCTAGAATCCCGACGTCTCGCCCTCAGCCTAGAAGGTTTGTTTACGTCGGATACACCGGAGTTTACGACCCTTCTTTGCGTGTCAGCGCTCGATGGTGCAGGTGTCTTTGGCCAAGGCCCGCCGCGAGGACCGCTTGTTTGCCCCAAACTGCAAGGCAAGCTCCATGGGGCTATCCAGCGTTCAGATCTTGGCATGTGGGTGAAGCCTCCTCTGATCGTCGGTACAGCCCGTAAATCTCGCGAACCCGTATCGGAGCTTGTGAAAGGGATGTACAAGGAACGCCCGAGGAGACTGCGGCGCCAACCCTGCGAGGCGGCACAAAATGTTGAAGAAGCCGCGTACAAACATGTCCATGTCTGAGGGTCGATGGACGCCCTTAACAAATCCCCGAAGACCCTAAAACCCTAACCAAAGAAGATCCTCAGCCGTGAAGCCAGTGAGCCCTTGCAAGACCCCATGAAAAAGTTCGGAAAAGCCCTAGCCTAATTACTTCGAAGCCCCCCTACACAAGGCTAGCCGTTAAAAAAAAGAGGACGGCGTGCCTTTGGAGAACGCCCGGGCCTTGGCCGCTTGCAGCTCTGGGGGCCGGCGCCACATCCTGCGCGTGGGCCGCATCACGTCAGGCGCGCTTCGCCACGCCACTACGCCACGGAGTGTGTCATTTATATTTTGGGGCTCCAAAAAAATAGACTCGGTTTAGGTTAGGGAAGCAAGGCGCGACGAGTTTTTTGGGGGACGTGGGATTCAGGGTTGTTGGACAAGGCTGGTGCTGGGTGTTCATTGCATAGTCGGCGGAGCCGGAACTCGAACTCCCTCAACGACGCATTCACTGGAATTACTCGGTAACAATACACGCCATATCGGAAATCAGATCTCAAATCAGGTGGTTCAGTTTGACAGGAACTCTTCACAGTGTAGCCGATTCTCCTTATATTTTTTGCTTACATATCCGACATCGCAAGGCGGCGGCTGCGACGGCGTCCTTCTGGAGGGTCTCTTGCCTCAGTATTCCCACAGTCAACATCTTTGGTAAAGGAAGGTCATTTATCTGAACGCTCCTCGGATAATGACGACGCTGGTGACAATGACTAGTTATGAAGTTATGATGCAAACAATGATAGCAGTGCTATTCATGAGATCAAGATGATGGTCACTGATGGTGTTGCTGATGGTGATGTTGGTATTGATGATGGTGGTAATTAGGATCATGCACCCACCTCCGTGAGTCTCCCAAATGTCAACTTCCAGGAGGTGTGACTAACCGTTCAGGCCGCAGGATTTTTAGTTTGCATCAACCGCGGAAACTGGACTGCAAGTTAAGGATTATGAGACCAATCCAAGGCGATCTCATCCTTAGCATCAACGGCAAGCCGGTGACGAAGCCACACGCTTCCTGGCTTTAAGTGTCACGCATCCGTTCAGGGCTCTAAAGGGCATAGGACATCTTGTTTCATGAAGTTGTTTGGCGTCATAGCCTCGAGAGTCAGTCGGATAGTTCTTGACTGCCGCGAAGCGGAAACTGGCCTGAAAAAGACGAATGGTCGCAGCAACTACAGAGCAGTCAGTCACGAGTTCGGTTATATTTTGTGGGCTCAAGTTGTTACAGATTGTACAATCTACCATCTCAGACAATCTATCACTTGACGCAGCTGTGAGCTCCCCACTGTTTTGTCAGATGTCGGCTGCAGGTAAGGCTTTGGTTGCCGATTGCATCGATTGCCATATGGGGCTTGCCATTAGTATCGCCCAGTGCCTGACCATTGGCCCACCCCAGCAGACAAGTGAGCGGGGTCTGGTCCAGAATAGAACCCTTAACTTAGACGGTCGGTGCTTGATGGTCTGTGGAGGCGCAAGTGGTCTTCCAAGCCAGCGGTTGTTGAGTTTTCGCTCCTTTCTCGTCCTATTTCTGCAGCTGCACATGAGGTGTACCCCGAGCCACAACAATGAGAGGTCTTTATAGCCTTACGTGCGCATCTAAAGCGCCCAGACCAGGCCAGCCAAAGCCTCTCTGCAAAACTCGATGAGTCGTTCTCAGGAGGTGGAGCGCGAGATGCGAAAGTGCCATGTAGCACGCGCAGCACCTGGGCTGAGCTTCGGAGACTTTGGGCGCGCAAACCCTAAATAACAGTCGAGCCAAAATTGTGTGTTTAATGCAGCCAGGAGGTGAATTCGATGTCTTGGCGGGTGCAGCGGTCCCGGCAGCCCGTTGATCTAGACCTGAGGCCATCGGCTTTGGGGAGAGTTGGGGGTAGGGCTTTGGGCAAAAGGAGTTTAGGTATGGGCGGTATGGGATTCCAGTTTAGGAATTAGGGGATGAAGGGGTAGGAATTAGGGGATGAAGGGTTTAGGGACTATTGGGTTTGGGGCTTTTTAGGGATTAGTGACTCTTGGGCTGCTAGAGTTCAGGGCTTTGGGATGTAGGATGTTTGCCCGTTAGGTTTCAGGCTTCGTGGACAGGATGTGGGTTTTTGGGGTAAAGGGGCATTGGGCTTGAATGAATTTCGATTTAAACAAGGACACCCCAAAGAGGGATTTCACACGAAGTTTGCTAGTAAGGGTTCTTGAGGATAGTTGGTTTGGAGCCAACCTTTGAACTCTGTTTGCCCCGCCGTAGCTTGACATGGCCTCACCAGCGCTAACTAGCGCTCATTCTCGCACACCGGTGCTTGCCCATCCCTACGAGTGCTTGTCAACTCTCAGCAGTACAAACTTTGGAGAGCGCTGTGAAGCTCTACCAGTGGTCACGTGCGCTCAAAATCAACGTCTTGCCTCCGTGTGCTCTGCAGCGCTTGCTAGGCCTTAGCCGGCTTTTGCAATTCTCACGAACAAACCAGACTACAAAGGCTTGCTAGGCTCTACTGAGGCTACTAAGGCTTGGCAGGCCTGGTTATCCAACGATCAATTTCTGTTAGCAGCTCTATTTGCTATCCCCCCTCCATTAGGGGGGTCCATCTAATTCATGCTTGATTTAAGGTTTCGGAAAATTTCAGGGCTGGGGTTCGGGGCTCTGGGGTTGAGGCCCGTGTCCATGGTCGGACAGGAGCGCCGGGGAGGTGTTCTGCAGTTCAAATTCCTGATGCAACCTATCTGATCCAACATGTTTGGCAACAGCAAGATCGGACTTCCTTCCTTTCCGGTAGCCCAAACTGTGATGGGTTTCGAGCCAGGGCTCACAAAGTTCGCGAACAAACTCAGACCCACGAAGTTCGCGCATCGGACTGCGATTCCTTGGCAGGCCCACGTTGCTCCACTCCGACGGCACCGAGCACATCGTAGCCCCCCGGCTGAAAGCCAAGAATCCTAACCGCCTGAAGCGCCTTTGAGACTGATCAACTGAGCACGCGTCCTTCTTACAATTGGAATCATAAAGAAATCATGGCTCAGGACTATAACGCAAAAGGGTAAGGCAAAGAGTAAGAGCATGTAATTATACCATATTACATTGTGTTACTTCATGTTACATTATATAAGTATGTACCCGAAGCCCAAGCCATGAACCCAAATCCTTTCGCTAAGCCCCAACCCCCAGACCTAGACACTGGACCTCAAAGGGCCTAATTCTTGAACGCCCAACCAAGAGCCCTAAACTAAACCCAAAAAGGCTGCAGTCTCAAATCCTGGCAGGTGTTCAATGGCGTGGTCCTCCGACCGACGCCTCGTGCGGTGGCGGAGCGGGGTGGGCCGACCCTACCCTTCACCCGGCCGGGGCAGGCAGCCTTGGGATTCAAGGGTTTAGGGCCCTACACGGGTCACCACGAGGCGTCAGGGCTTTATGGTTTCGAGTTTCCGAGTATCGGGCTCAGGGTGTGGACCCGGGGGCATCAATTTGTTAAACCTGGCGGCCTGAGCTTAGCTTAGTTCTGCAACACCCCACATCCAAGCCGACTTTTTGCTGTTGTTTGGTGTGTTTTTCAATGTTTAACCTTTTACATATTCCCTTCCTTGTCACAATCAGTAAGTAAGTTATTGAGGATTGCATTCGGGTCTTAATCTAAGCGGCTTACATGTGGTGTAGTCATCTGGGGTCTACTTCAAGATTTCAGAGCTTCGGGTTCAGGGCCTGGGTGTTCATTCAGATGTTGTTCGCAGGATACGGTTTCAGTTCTTGTGTTGGGTGATTTACAAACTGACCAAGACTGTTGGTTGTATTTGGTTGTTTAAAGCATTCAGGCTAGATTCTGGTAGAGCTTTGAGGGGTCTCGCTGGATTTAGGGCACAGGTTTTGCTGCATAAGACAATCTCCTCCTTCACCATGCGGCCACCAGCCGAAGAGCTTCCAGAGATTCCGTCGTTCTATGTTCCAGTAGCCACAGTCCTCACCTCGAGCCGAGCTTTCGCAGTAAACCTTCCCCTAAGCCCCCAAAGCTCCGGCACCTTCCAGGGTCTCTACTTCTGGCCGCTCGGGCAGGATAGTGTCGGCGCTTGGGGGACCTGGGGTTCGAGGGTGCTCGGGCTCTGGGGTGAAGGGTTTGAGGGTTGATTCGAGTTTAGGTGATGTAGAGCCTTGGGAGTGCTGGGGTTTTGAGATGTGTTCTGATCCCGACTCCGAGGTTGATCGAAATGTAAAGGCTAGGAGTGCTTTTTGGCTTAATCCTGCGGATATATGGTTTAGGCTTGGCGGTTCTTTTTTCTGTCTGTGGCTTATAGGGTTTGGTACTCATCTCAGGGTTGATTAATGTAGGATCCAAACCTCTGCCCAGGGAGTGAGATCAATTGGGATGTTCGGAGCCAAGGTACATTTATCCTGGGTCGCCCGCGGATACCTTCAGCTTCGCTGATAGCCGCGCGATGCGTCGCCATGCCAGCAGTCAGGGCTTTGAGGATCAGTGTGCATAAGAGCCCGCTGTCATGATTCGAACAGGGGTTTGGGCATATTCGTATGTAGAGAGATGCTGTCAAGGCATGATTCAGCTTTATCATCTCGCCCTGGATAGCCACGGCATTGCACGACCAAGGTATATCCTTGCATGAGCATCATGTCGGTTTTTGTTTCTTCAACTATGCTCCTGTGTTTTAAGGAATTTTGCTTTGACGCTCTGAGGCTCAATGGGGTTGTTGTCGATAGCTTGGGACTGCAGAGGCCCTTACAACTCCTTTTTTCCCCTATGAGGTCTGGGCTTTGTTTGGGGTTGTAGGTTTTGATCCCTAATGACCCTAATGCCTGCCTTTCAGGCAGGGCAGGAACGACAGCTTGACGACTCTGCTGTAATGGTAGATAATGACAAAGGCTGCAACTTTGAGCAGCAGGTGCGGGTCCTGTGTGGCTCTGCTATGGACAGCAACAAACAGCGCTCCCTCCTTAACGGTCATGGCAAGCTGATCCCTTCTGTGGCCATCCTTGTCGAGGGAGGGGGTATATGGATCAGGGGTCGGCATTGGTCGCAGTCTCGGCCTAAATCCCCTCGTGCTGCGCACCCAAATGAAATTCCCCTCAAGCCCGACGGACCCCAAGCCTTCAACCCTGTGCCAACCCAATGCCCTACCCCCATTCAAGCTCTGCAAACTAGCACCCTCAACCCGCTTAAGGTAATCTCGGTTGGCTCGTGCAACTCAACAATGAGCCAACGCCCAGCATCGATGCTGAGTCCAGAATTTCATCGGGTAGGGCCGGGTAGGGTTTAGGCTAAACTATGTTGCCTTCTTCGGATCCTGGTTATGACACTATATTCCAGGGCAGCACACAAATTTCTTCCGGTTACAGTCCTTCCGGTGGTCGTTACTTTTGACGGAGAGCTGTCCAGATGCCCCTGCAAAAACGCCTTCACCAAAACGCCTTCACCGCTGCGTAGCGTGGTCGAGTTGCCACCCAAAACATCCAAAACCAACCTCAAAGCTTCACCCGCCTCAGAATCCAGCACTCGTACACGCAATAGCACTCAACTTTTTACTCAGTCGCGCTTAAGCCAAACCTGAGCAGAGCCGTTAGTGCCACAACTTTTCACAATCCTTGATTTACCATGTTTGCGCCTTCGACAGAAGATCACATCCAGTTGGACGAGTGGAAGCCTCTTGCCAAATCCTGAAAGGCCACATTCACAAATGTCGTCCCCTATACCAGCTATACCAGCCCTTATGGTCAACGCTAGACCAGCGAATCCTGGCCAAGCCCAAAGCCCAACAAGCCTAACCTCCAAACTCACACCTCAAACTTAGACACTAAACTCGACTAAGAGCCCAGGAGCGGCTTTTGGAGATCATCCATTCGGGAGCCCTCAGTGGTTGCCACTGCAGACGCACAAGATCGAAGTTTCAGTGTCTGGGGGTTTCGTATATACAGCGCTCGGTAAACGTGCGCATGTGAGAAACACCACATGTGCGTGCGTAAATATGTGCGTGCGTAAATATGAGTGTGTGTGTGTGTTTGCAAACATATGTATGCAAACATGCATGAGCGGGTTGTCTCGGTTTGTCACATCTAGTCTTAGGTCTGCCAACGAAAAGGGGGTTGGGTGAAAAGGCTCGTGGCAAGTTCGAGGAACGAAGCGAGAATCTCCCAAGAAAACCCAACTGCAAAACCGTGAGGCCGTTAATCCGGAGCTTTCGAACCCCAACTCCCCACACTTTCTATGTAGTCTCTTAAAGCCCCAAAGTCTTCCAGCGTGCAAGCTTGCGTGAAAGTCGGCAGAACATCGAAAATCCACAGATGATAATGCGTAGGCTGGATTACACAGCATGCGGATCGCAGTACATCTTCCGACACATTGCCACATCAACAGCAATGATGGAGGGAATAGGAAGAACTATAACTATAGCGGCAACAACAGCTGGACTTGTGGTTTAAATTAAACTCTAGACCCCGCAGGCTTTAAACCTGCCTGCACCCTTAAACCCTTGTCGACAAAAGCTCCCCAAACCCTATAATCTAATGAAGCCCAACACACCGAAGGCGAGTGGCTGCGGTGCCACGTTATGGATGCCGAAGGGCGGCTCTCCGTCCGCGCGCTGAGGTGTGCCTTCGAACCCGGTTTGTGTAGGGCTAGGAGGGTTCAACCCTCTAGCGATCTGAGGATGCAGCAGATTGGCACAGAGCCGGAGGGGATTAGGATGTGATATAGGAACTCCAGTGGGAAATCTGGTTCCTTCGTAACCCTAGTAGTGTCATCTTGTTCTGGTTCTTTCAGTCTGAGAGCCCTGCTTTGGCCAATCAGATTTCACAGAGAGCCACCTCTTGTCCCAATCCTGAACGACTGAAGCTGGAAGATGCCCTAAACCCTGGGTGCCCAGGAACTTAACGGTCTGGGGGCATGTTTGTAAAGCTTACAGTAGGGTTTGAGGCAAAAGATGCTTTAGGATTGGGTGGGGAGGGTCTTAAAGTTGTCGGCCAGGTTTGAGGGGGGGGGGGGTCTCGTATGATAGATAGATATCTTAGTACATTGAGGTCCAGTGTTTTCTGAAGCTCCCATATTCGTGTGCAGGCCTCAATGCCTCAATCCTTGGGTAAACCTGTTCAGATCCTACTTCAAGCCTCACCTCTGCCTCTGTCAGGCCCGATTTCGAGTTCTGGCCGACTGTCGAAATTGTGCGACCAATCTGCATTTCCGTGAAGCCCAAGACCCGTCCTTGAAGGTTGCCACATATATGGGAGCTTGTTGTTCTGTGGACGGCCCTGTAAAAGGTTCATAGTAGAGTAGAGGGCTTGAGAGGGCTCTTTCAGGGAACCTCAAAGGTCTTGCATCGTGAAGTCCATATTGCTTGTTTGCTGGTGGCCTTGTACAAAAAGAGGGTAGGATTTAGGCGCATGAGTTGTAATTTGAAGGATTCAGTCATTATGTGTGTACCGTTCAGAGTTTTGGTGGAGTTTCGGGAATGTGGTTGCAGGCTGTTCTGTCGAACAAGGCTCCAAATTCGGATCCCCAAGAGTATACCATCTTTGCAATACAAAGATGCTGAACACTGAACAGTCTGACAGTGGTTTATAAGGTGTAAAGAGCTGCCCACATGTCGAAGTATCGGCTTGTCGTGGGTTTTCCATTCAAGCCAACAAACTGTTCAACAAACGCAACTAACTGATCCTCCTCTGCGAATATCGTGGCTGCGCCCCAAACCTTGTAGCCTGTGTCGAGGCGAAAGAAACAGGAAGATGAAGAATACAAGACGCCCACTTGGGTGAGGCTTGAGCATCCAGCCTAGCCCTGCCTCTGCCACCCTGGACGTAGCTGGACGACTCACGACCGAATAACCCAGCGCCTCCCAGAGTATGATATGCACACCCTAAGCCCTAAACCTCCGAACTTGCACCCCTCAACCCTGTAAACCCTCCACACCAACATCAAACCGAGTCCCTGCTTGGTTTGTGGGATGAAGCAGCGAATTCGATTCGTTCATTTATTCTGGGTGCATCTTGCGGAAAAAGCCCTTGGCTCCGCGGTGAACAGCATGCAATACTTGTAAACATAGTAGTCAGTCCTAGTCGTTGTAGCAGCGGTAGGATCAGGAGTAGTAGCAGTGGCCCCAGCAGTAGCATAGCACTAGCAGTCACAGTATCGCGGCAGCGGCATAGCAGCAACACAAGCTCGAGGTCTAGTTGGTTTACCTCAGGTCCGAGGCCAGAGACGTGAGCTTCCGGTAGACATGCAATAAACAAATGGTCGGCCGGCCAAGCGAAGCCACAACCAGGATCAAGAGTGTTTTTAGGCCTTTGTCAGTGGAAGGAACGGATCAATTTGAAAATCCTACCATGTATATCCCTCAACCCTTTATGTGATGATTCA